TAGTTTTTTAGGTTGGTTTGTTGCTAATTCTGATGGTTTCATGGATAATGGTTGGTTAGAGGTTGTAGATGGGAATGAGACGAGGTTAGGGGTGGTGGAGTTCGATGGTTTGAGTGATCGAAAAGTGGTAGAATAGGGCTCCATATGTGACTGCTGAAAACGAGCAAAAATAACCCAAAATTGAAGAGGAAATAATTTCTAGTGAAAATGAAGAAGAAAGAAGAAGGTGCAATGAAAGAAGTTGGGTGAATAATTTAATATAAATTGAAGGACAACTTTGTTATTTTACCATTAAAATATTTTAATTTTTTTAATTCTATTTCAATGTTGGTTAAAGGCCATTTCTTCAAAATCATCGTTTAGTGGGGTTATTTGGCCAAATTTCCCTACAAATTTTTAGAGTCAGCTAAATGAAAATGATATTTATATGTACGCAAGATCGCTTCTCATCATCGACGTATCACAATCATATCCCCATGGCAAAAATCCAAGTTACCTAATGTCGATTAATAGAAAAATCGGGTGCACAAATGTGATTTCACACGGCAAAGCAACCCCGTACCATACATGAATTATTCTTGTGGTACATCACAAGATATATAAGGGTGTCCATAATGGACACCCGTCACCTCTTATTGGTGGGAGGGCTTGTGGGACCGGCACCCCAACCAATGAGAGAGCGTCGAGTGTCCATTATGGACACCCTGATGTAACTCGTGATGTAGCACAAGAATTGTCCACCATACATTGGCAGTTGGGAAGACTCGTACGGTTGAATTCAATTAGAGGAAAAAATCCAAACTTTTGCCGAGGCATGGCACCCCATGTATAAAAAGCTGCAATTTTTTTGAAAAGAAAACTCCCTTTCATTGTCAGACCCCCTAGAAAGTTTTGCATTTTAACAGACGGTGAGACAGATAAAAGATCTTTTTTTCAAGAAAACTTGTTTCATTTTCTTGGGATTTGTTTTTCCTGTGGGAAGAGAGGAAGGAAAGTGGAAAGATGTTGTGGGGATTTCGGGGAAGACATTATTGGGGAAGAAAGGAGAGAGGGAAAGTGGAAGGAATGGTGGTGGTCTTTCATGTTTGCATGAATGTCCAGTCAGGATAGGCACTTGAAGAATTATGTTGATCNCTGACAAGAAACATCACGAATGAGGACTTTATATGTACGCATAATCGCTTCTCATCATTGACGTATCACAATCATATCCCCATGTCAAAAATCCAAGTTACCTAATGTCGATTAATAGAAAAATCGGGTGCACAAATGTGATTTCACACGGCAAAGCAACCCCGTACCATACATTGGCAGTTGGAAAGACTCGTACAGTTGAATTCAATTAGAGGAAAAAATCCAAACTTTTGCCGAGGCATGGCACCCCATGTATAAAAAGCTGCAATTTTTTTGAAAAGAAAACTCCCTTTCATTGTCAGTCCCCCTAGAAAGTTTTGCATTTTAACAGACAGATAAAAGATTTTATTTTTTTCAAGAAAACTTGTTTCATTTTCTTGGGATTTGTTTTTCTTGTGGGAAGAGAGGAAGGAAAGTGGAAAGATGTTGTGGGGATTTCGGGGAAGACGTTATTGGGGAAGAAAGGAGAGAGGGAAAGTGGAAGGAATGGTGGTGGTCTTTCATGTTTGCGTGAATGTCCAGTCAGGACAGGCACTTGAAGAATTATGTTGATC